GAAATCACATTTTGTATGCTATGATAATGTTTATGGAAAGAATGTAAATTAATTAAATTAAAAAAACGTTTCAGGGCAAGGCAGGAGGACATTTGCAGTCAGGATGTCGTTTTGAAAATGCAGGGTGGTGCCTCTGCCTTAATAAGTCCCATAGGAAGACTGCCACACCTAGACTGATTGATGCCTATGGATCATCACCATTATTCCTACCGAAGTCCTGTGTCATTGAGCATGCCTATAAAGATGCCTTAGAAAAAGAAACATGGAGAAGTATATTAGATTACAGAAGATTGGAGAAGGTTCATTTGGAAAAGCCATTCTTGTTAAATCTACGGAAGATGGCAGGCCATATGTTATCAAGGAAATTAATATCTCAAGTGTAAGTATGTTTTTAGCTTGTTTATACAAGTAATAGTATGGTTAAAATAGAGCTTATTAATAGAGAATTAAAATACATGTATATGGTCATCAGGAAAAATGATGCATTTTTGCATAGCAAAACAGAAAAATACATCTTGCCTTTTCCGACGACCCAATATGTATACATAGCAATGTATAATAGGAAGTGAAAGGCTACCACAATCCCAGAGAGAATCACTAATTTCAGAATAGTCTGTATATCTTTTCAGACGCATGATGCGTGTTTTGTAGTTATAGTAATAGAGATACCGTTCTTTAACTCAGTCTAGTGTGGACATCTTAAAATGTTTTTACTCACAGATTCAAGTCACACTTTTCTAACTTCTGCTATATTTTTTGGTTGCACTGTATTGATACCATTATTTTTTGCCCACTCTTTTTAGCAATGGACTTTGAGGTTGTTTATGGATGATTTACTATGTTATTTATTCTCTCATTTAAGATGTCCAGCAAAGAAAGGGAAGAATCAAGGAGAGAAGTCGCAGTGTTGGCAAACATGAAGCACCCCAATATTGTCCAGTATAGAGAATCATTTGAAGGTCAGATCATTTTACAATAAGCCACTGATAAGTTTGGATATTTTCCTTATAAGAAATTGTTTCGTGAATCTTGTCTCAAGAAAAAAAATCATTTTATCTTCAATAAAAATGCATAAGAGTATCCATTTAAATTTAGGATAATGCTGATACCACACTGTCTTGGTGTGGTTTAATACTGGCTTACTCTATTTGACATTTGCCTAAAAAGAAGTAATATAGGACCTGGAGGTGGTGTAGACCCCACATCGCCAACCATGCAGTTTGAGTCCTGGACTCAGCGGCTTGAGAATCACACCAAGCATGTGTACATCCATGCCCAAGATCCTGAGAGGAGAATGGGAGAGAAGCGATTGCAGTGTGGCCATCTCACCTAGGGGTGATTTCGCACTTTCCCTCTCTCTCTTCCCCTTTCTCCCTCTCTGGTGAGCACACACACCTGTAACAGACATTTAAAAAAGAAAAAAGAAAAAAATATAAAGCAATGTAATAAATGCAAAAATTTGGACAAAGTAAGAGCAATAATTGAAAGATATGTATATATATTTCATTGAGTATGCATGTGTGTGTGTGTGTATACATATATATCTTTGAATATATTTGTAGATGCATCTATATTTATATTTGTATATGTATCTGTACATTTATATACATTTATATATCTTTGTATCTTTATATATCTTTACTTATATATGTGTGTGTGTGTGTGTGTGTGTGTGTATATATATATATATATATATATATATATGTCTTTTTATGTGCCAGAGGCACATGCACTCACCAGAGAGGGAGGAGGAAAAAGGAAACCCTCCCCCGACACATATACACACACTGGGCATAATCATGCCTCAATGCCTTCTCCTCCCACTTCTTCATCCTGTTAGGACGTTGGGCACTAAAGCATGCGTGCCCATGTATTTTTCAAACCACTAGGTCCAGAACTCAAGCTTCATAGTTGGCTGTATGGTATCCTTGCTTTTTACTTATTTATTTTAGTATTTTCTGTATGGTGCATGCACTTGCCCCAGAGAGAGGGAAGCTAATAAATCCCTTCCCACCCCCACCTCGGGGCCATGACCATGCCACAGTCCTTTCTCCTCCAGTCTCCTTTCGAGATTTGGGCATGCTCACACACATATACCTGTCATGATTTTCAAGCTGCCAGGTCCATGACTTGAACTGCATTGCCAGACCTGCGGGTTCCAGTGCCTTAACCACCATGTTTCCTGCTGGCTGTAAGAAATGCTGCTTTCTTAAAACCTAAGTCACTGAACGTATAAGAAGTTTTAAAAAGTTTATATCTTTTTGAACTAAACTTTATTGTCATTGTTACCAGTGAGAAAATGTTCTGATCTTTAGGAAGTATTTTTCTTGTCAGTATGTTACTGTGTACCTCATTATTATAATATTGAAATTTATTAAAATTTTTCTCAAGTTCTTAAAATGTAATAATTGCTGTTTTGGAACTATCCACTATTATATTTGATAATGTAAGAACTAAGATAAGACAAAGCTTCTCTAAAAGCAGATCAAGGTAGTTTATTAAAGTTGTTCTTTTTTTTTTTTTAATTATTATTTATTTTAATTTGACCAGAGAGGGTCAGAGAGAGAGGGAAAGTGAGAAAGCAAGCTGCCAGGTCTGGGACTTGAACCATGGTTGGCCATATAGGAGTCTAGTGCCCTTAACCACCACGCCACCTGCTAGCCCCTTAAAGTTCTACCTAATTATCATTCTCATTATTTTTATAAATTCCTATAAGTTAAAAAGTAGGAAGATAATCTAGATCAAACATAAAAGATAAGGTAATGACTATTTCAAGCTTATATCCCATACAAATTTCAGAATCTCAATTAGAACAAAAGTAAGTTATTCCACAGATGAACTTGATATTTTCTGAAGTAGAACATACTTTTTAAAAATATAGTTCATTTAACACATTATCTCATAAAGTATTCCATCTGTTTTATGGTGACAGTGGAATGAAGATTTTAAAAGTTTGCTATAAGTCGCAAATGCTAACAGAATGAGAAAGTGAGAAAACACACACCCAGAGGGAATGGCCATGCTCCTTTACTTTCTCCTCCATTTTCCCAGGGAAAGTGAGAAAGTACCCTCCCCACCCTCCCACCATGGGGTTTGGCCATGTAGTAATCCCTTCTTCTATTCTCTTTTTTGGGATTTTGGGCACATGCGCATATGCACCTGGGATGTTTTTCAAGCTGCTGGATTGGGACTCAGACTAGGCAACTGGCCATGTGGAATCCAGCCACCCTAATGACCACGCCACTTACTGGCCCTATCCAAGCATCTATCTTTTGGTTTCTTTTTTTCTTTATCACCGATATTTTAATATTTATTTATTTTTAAATAATTATTTTATTTTACTTTATTTTTTATTCATTTTTTATTTATTTTTTCATTTGACCAGAGAGGGACAGAGTGAGAGGTGTGGGGGGGAAAGTGAGAAAGCAAGCCACTAGGTCCAGGACTTGAACCACGGTCTGTCGTGGGAGAGTCTAACACTCTTAACCACTACGCCACCTACTGGCGCCAATATTTTATCATTTAAGTTAAAACATAAGTTGACAGATATTCCAGCACATGTTTTGTACTGTATTTGTGTTGACTGCTTCACATAGAAGCATCTGATTGATAAGGAATGGCACATTGTTTAAATAAGGTTTTTATTTTGCCATTATTTAATTTTAAAGGATACATACTTGTGATAAACATACTCGAAAAATATAGGCACACATGACTGTAAGTTAAGTTCTCTTTTCCTCCACTGATCCTCATTCCCACTTCCTAGGGGTAATAAGTATTGTTAGTAATTCAGTGTTTCTTACCATATTTTGTGTGCTTGAGCGAAACAGGAATCTCAAAAAGTTCATGGGAAATGCATATTATAAGAAAAGTTTGCATGGATTTCAAAATTTTTAAAAAACTGACACATTTTAAATATTTCTATATATAAGTTATTTTTAATTATTCCAGAAAATAATTATGATAAGATCTGTTGGTGGATCAGCCAGTGGCACGACAGTTAAAGTGTCTGGATCCTACATGGCCAACTGCACGATTCAAGTCCTAAACCTGACGATTTGAAAAACACTGTGGGCATGTGTGCATGTATGCCAGACATCCCAAAAAAGAGAGTAAGAGGAAAGGGGATTACGGCATGACCATCCCCCATGGTGGCAGGGCTGCTTTCTCACTTCCCCCGTCTCTCAGGTGATCGCACGTGCCCTCTAGCAAAATAAAAGAAAACAAAAGATTTTTTTTTTCTTCTTATTGGGAAAATAGGGGATTGCCTTGTATCACCATATATCTAGGTATATGTTTATACGTGTACTTGTTTTTAATCAATGTTTTCTGTTTTTCCATCATTCATATATTGTTCTGTTTAGTATCTGGCTATGCTTCCATCATTTAATTTTGTTTTTTTCATCTTTTTTTCCTTTTCAGTTTTATTTTTTGCTGTTTCTAAAGTAGCTTTTATACCTTTATTATCTTATTTTTTAAGAATTATTTACTTAATTTTACTTATCATTATTATTATTTTAATTTGCTATAGAGCATGTGGGCTCACCAGAGAGAAACACAGAGATACGGAAAGTGAGAAAGCAAGTCACCAGATCTGGGACTCGAACAGTGGTTAGCCATGTGGGAGTCTAGTGTCTTAACCACCATGCCACCTGCTGATCTCCAGCTTTTATATCTTAAGTGGAAACTTTTCGATCTCATACATTGAGTTAAAGTAGGCCATTCTACTTGTACTTTATTGCTTCTGTGAAAATCTAACTACCTTCTTAAAGACATTTCTTGGAGGCTTACATTTAGGTTGCAACTAATATTGGCTTATATGAGAAAAAGATTTAATTATCTTGCCTAATAAGAAGTCTTAGATAAACAGACCTTTAATAGCATATTTGGCAGCTCTCAGCAGTGTTACTAAGATCCAGGCACTTTCAGTTATTCTGTTCTGCCCTCACTATATAAAATTTCCAACCTACTGTTTTTTCACCTTGTCTTAAGATGAGTCTTGGAATTCCAGGCCCTTATTTTCATCCAAGGCCAAAAGAAGGGCAAAATGGTACTAGCAACAACTCTTGGGTCTTTTTCTTTCTTCCTTCCTTTTTTTTTTTTTAAAAAAAAGAATTTGTTTAATTTTATTCATTTATCTTAATTTGACCAGAGAGAGATCAAGAGAGAGAGAGAGGAAGTGAGAAAGCAAGCCACCAGGTCTGGGACTCAAATTATGGTTGGCCATGTGGGAGCGTCCAGCACTTTAACCACCATGCCACCTGCTGGTCCCCTCTTCTTCTTTTTTTAATTTGCTAGTGGGCACCTGCACTTGCCAGAGACAGGCAGAGAGAAAGGGAAAGTAAGATAACACTCCACATGCCACAATCTCTTCTTCTTTCTGTTTTCAGGGTTTGGGGCATGTCCAACTTGTTTTTCTAGCTGTTCAATCAGGACTCAAACCATGTAGTTGGCCATGTGGAATCCAGCTGCCTTAACCACTATGCCACGGGCTGGCGAATCTGTTTCTTTAATCAGACAAGGAACTGTGTTCTTAGAAACTGCTATAAAGTTTGTTTTGATCTTATCAGCCCTCTTAATTATAGGGGAAGATAGGAATTAGAACATCTGGCTCTTTTTTAGCTTTTAAAGTGAGAGGTGGTAGGAAAAAGTGTGTTAGAATTGGCTATTCAATTAGCAAACCAATAGTGCATGCTTTGGTGAGTGATGTTAACTCACCCCCCATTATGGTATTTCTGTTGAACTCTTGGTTATTTTCTAATATTCTAACATGCTCTGGTTATTTTCTAACACATATTGAGGCTTTATTACTTAGCTTGTAGTCTTTTTGCCCTGATTTCAAGCAGCTTCTAAGGTAGTAGTTTGGATTTTTATTTATTTATTTATTTATTTATTTATTTATTTATTTTTGAGAGTTTTCCTCCATTGGTGTGTGAGTCCATCTGTGATAAAGGTAGTGTCTGTTTATATTTCCATAACCCTAGCATGATGTACAAAGTACCTGACACATAGCTGGTGTTCAGAAGTTTATGTAAAAAATAGATAATATCTAGGGAACCAGCAGTTAGCGTAATGGCTATGTCGCTGGACTCCCACGTAGTCGACCGCGGTTCGTGTCCCGGACCCGGTGGCTTAGAACTCACGCCGGGCGCGTGTGCGTGAGTGCCCAAGATCCCGAGAGGAGAATGGAGGAGAAGGGATTGCGGCGTGACCATCCCCCCTGGGGGGTGATTTCTCGCTTTCTGTCTCTATGTCTCTCTCTGTCTGTCTGGTGAGCGCACGCGCCCTACAGTGAAAATCTCTCAAAAAAAAAAATAGATAATATCTAAGCAGCAGAAAACATTACAGTTTCTATGCTAAAGCTCAAGTATTTTACTTGTAGGATTGCTTCTCCATTCCTTTCTCAGGTCCTATTTAACATTCTCTTTCTATTTCATTCTCACACACCTTTTATACATGATATAAGATTTTGTAGTAAGTTTGTCTTCTGTTCCTATCTTTGAGCTACCTATGTTTCATTCTTGGAGCTAACAACTGTTATTACTGTCTAGTGTTTTCTTCCGTAAGTGGTCTAAGCATTAGCAAGCATACACAAGAGATAGAATACCATATGTAATTTTTTGTTTTTTATGCTACATAAATGGCAACATCATATATATATATTTTATAACTGTTCTTTTTTTTTTTCTTTCTTAGATATTTTGGCTATAGGGTACTCACTAGAGAGAAAGGGAGACAGAAAGTGAGAAATTCCCACCCCCACCCCCCCCAGTGGGGTGGCCAGGCAGCAGTCCCTTCTTCGTTCTCCTCTTGGGATTTTAGGCAACTCACACACACGTGCCCAGCATGAGTTTCAAGCTGCTGGGCCCGGAACTCAAACTGCAGTTGACCATGTGGGAATTCATCACCTTAACAGTACACCACTCGCTGGCTCTTATTTTTATAACTATTGAATTTTTCAGGAAATTATTTTGTATTTTAATTTTCCATGTATATTGGTTGATCTTTTCATATTAATAATGAAGAGTCATGTAGTTTTTTTCAGTTTTGTTTTGTTTTGTTTTGTTTTGCCAGAGAGTATGCACTCTCCAGAAAGAAAGAAAGAGAAAGAGAAAGAGAAAGCATGCCCCCCACCCCCCAACCCCAGTGGGGCCTGGTCATGCTGCAATAATTTTTTCTCTATTCCTCCATCCTGTGAGGATTTGGGTACATGTGCACACATATCCAGCATGATTTTCAAGCCCATGAAGCTCAGATTTGAATAGTTGTCAGCCAGGTGGGACCCAGCTTAACTGCTACATTATGTAGCCATCCCCATAATCTTTTTTTTTTTTTATTGAGATTTTTCTGTGGGGCACATGTGCTCGCCAGAGAGACAGAAAACGATATGTCACCCTCCCCGAGGGGATGGCCATGCCACAATCTTTTTTCCATTCTCCTCTCAGGGTTGTTTTGGGCATGTGTGCATACATGCTCAGTAGAGTTTTAATCCACCGGGTCCATGGCTCAAACTGCAGTTGAGCACATTAGAATCCAGCACCTTAACCACTATGCCACCTGCTGGCCCCCATCCCCATATTCTTAGTTAGCTTAATCACTTAGATTCTGAAACCCAATGGCACATGGCAAGCAGTATTTCAAAGAGGATATGAGGCCAACAGGTGATTAGAACACAGTGACAAGGTATACTAAGTTCTGCTGGAAGTAAGTCCATACTGCAGCTAGTGAAATAAGTGAGAACTGGCGCAGCTGTTCTCAGAGTAGTGGTCTCACTAGTAACTACTGGTTCCATAAATGTTAGAAGTGATGTTGGCCACTCATCCTTACTTGAGAAGAAGTAGAGGATGGAGACAGTTACTTTAAGTGTTCTAGTTTTTCTATCATGGAAAGAGGTATGCCAGTTCCTTTCTCTGTAGCCAAAGACATAAAGGTGAAGAGGGGAGTGCCCCATCTTCACATTTACAAATTCTATACAGTTTTCTTTAAAAATGAGAATAGATTTTGGGCTAGCAGTTGTGGTGCAGCAGTAGTGCAGTACTCTGGTACTGAACCCACGTAGGAATGTGCTGGATTTGTGCCTAAAGAGTCCTTGTACACATTGGGTGCTGTGTACATGTCATGGTTTGCTGGCTGAGGCTGGCGGTAGACTATGGCATGGGGATCCTATTCAGTATGCCTGATGCCTTTTTTTTTTTTTTTTTTTGCTATAGGGTGCGTGTGCTCACCAGAAAGACAGAGAGATAGAAAGCAAGAAATCACCCCCCAGGGGGGATGGCCACACCACAGTTCCTTCTCCTCCATTCTCCTCTTGGGATCTTGGGGATGCACACACATGCGCCCGGCATGAGTTTAAGCCCCTGGATCTGGGACTCGAGCCACAGTCAACTACATGGGCGTTCATCGACATATCCATTATGTTAACTGCTGGTCCCCAGGATGCATGTTTTTATCTCTTTCTCTGTTTTTCTTTCTCTCTCATAGAAGAAATAAAATAAAATAGGCCTGGGACCAGCAGGTAGCTTGGTGGTTGGGTTGCTCGACTCCCACATGCTATGATTCAAGTCCCAGACCAGGTGGCTGGCATTCTCACTTTCTCTCTCTCCCTCTCTCTCTGTCTATCTGTCTCTGGTGAGCACATGTGACCTATAGCAAAACTTAATAATAATAAACAAAATTTAATAATTATTTAAAAATAAAAATTAAATGAGCCTTTTCTAAAAAAAAAAAAAAAAAAAAGTAAAATCAAAGAAAATTCCAAGAGCTCCAAGAGGGTAGAGACTGATGTACTCTCTGTCGAAGCCTCAGAATTCATCACAGTATTTTTTTTTAATAAATAGTTGATTCAAATGGATAAAACAGAGCTGAAAATGAATGGTCAGTTGAACGCTAAGATTATTTTTCTCCACTACTTGGTGGAAAAACATGATTTTCTGTGACCACTAAGGAAATGTATCTATTGAGCGAAATCAAAAATATCTATCTGTGTTGTATCTATATTCCAGAGGTGTTTAGGTCTAGTTGAACCCCCGCTGTCCAATAGGATGGTGTTTTCTTGGTAGAAAAGTCAATAACAATGGAGTTTCTATTAACTTAAGTTACTGTGTAATACATTTTTATAGCCAATATACCTTGACTTGGCATTCTAATTCTTTTGAGTGTGGTTCTGTATTTTGTTTTGTTTTTAGCTGCTGTTTTGAATAAGCCTTTAAGTACTTTTAATTTGGCTGTGCTTTTGATGTACCTTTTTTAAATAGGATGTAATGTTTGTTTTATAGAGGATGGTTCTCTCTACATCGTGATGGATTACTGTGAAGGAGGAGATCTGTTTAAACGAATAAATGCTCAGAAAGGCATTTTGTTTCAAGAGGATCAGGTAAGTTAGTATATAGGAGATTGACTCTTACTCCATTATTGACAAGTAGTTTATAGTTTATTTCTGATTGCTAATTGTAATTTCTAGAGCAGTTTGGTATCATATCCAGTATGTTGGTCACATTTCCTTGTAATTATCTACCACCTTGGTTTAGTTCCCCATCTTATTTTTCAGTCTGTAATAATTCCTTGTACATGTAATGTTATATCCTATGTGTATGTGTGTATGTGTATGTATGTATATATATGTGCATATATGTATGTGTGTGTGTGTATATATGTGTGTGTGTGTATAACTTAATTATTCACTCTGATTATTCTATATCCTGACAATCTGGCTTATAGGTGCTAAATCATTTCTCCATAAAAGACAACTTTTCCAGGTAATTCCAGCTGATCTCTGTTTTGGTTTTAAGGATCTCTTGAAATACGATCTGTTCCTATTTAAGCAGCCTTTTTTTTTTTAATCTTATTTCCTTATTGCACTCCTTTTTATTTATTTTAACTGATACTTATTAACATATAATTTATGTTAGGCAATATGCAAAGTGTTTATACATTATATCCTTCTTTCTGTGTATTTAGTCTTTCTTTTTAACTTTTAAAAATTTTCTGTAGGGTATATGTACTCTGGGGAGAGAGAGAGAAACAGAGGGAAAGTGAGAAAGCATCTCCCCAGGGGGGATGGTCATACTGCAAACCCTTCTTCATTTTCCTCTTGGGATTTTGGGCATACATACATGCATGCCTGGAGTGTTTTCCAAGCCACCAGATCCAGAACTTTAAACGCGTAGTTGGCCGTCTTAACCACATAACACCTAGCTAGACCTTGATTATTTCTTTTACTTTGGTAATGCCAATTTCCAACTTCCTTGTGTTAAGCCCAATTTTAAAATATTCTATAACTACTACAATTTTCTGTGATCTTTTCCTTCTCTAAATTCCTGTTGAATTTCTCACCATTGCCCATTCTTTATTTTCTAAATGAATTATTTAACTTGATTTATTATTTTTTTTTTAATTTGACTAGAGAATGAGAGAGAGAGACAGGAAAAGTGAATAAGCAAGCTGCCAGGGCCAGGACTTGAACTGCAGTCAGCTGTGTGGGAGTCCAGCACCTTTAAACACCATACTACCTGCCAGCCCCCCATTTTTTATTTTAATTGTGTGCTTTTACATATGGGAATGGATGTAGCACTGTGCTACCAGTGTTATATTTGTTTTTTTTTTTTTTTTTTTTTTGAGAGGTTTTCACTACAGGGCATGTGTGCTCGCCAGACAGACAGAGAGAGCCATAGAGAGAGACAGCAAGAAATCACCCCCCCCAGGGGGGATGGTCACGCCGCAATCCCTTCTCCTCCGTTCTCCTCTCAGGATCTTGGACACGCACACACACATGCCCGGCGTGAGTTCTAAGCCACCGGGTCCGGGACGCGAACTGTGGTCGACTACGTGGGAATCCAGCGACATAGCCATTACGCTAACTGCTGGTTCCCTATTTGTTGTGTTTTTAAAATTAATGTATTTTTTTTCCCCTTTTAAATGGTTAAGGAGTCTAAGAGAGGTTAAATAATTTGTCCAAAACCATATAGATGTGTTTGGGTCTGTTAACCCCAAAGGTTATAAAATATTCTTTGTACAAACATATAATAAATAACCAAAATGTTAAAATATCAGAAGAAGTCCTCTTTGTCCACCATTTCATTCATGAGATTACCATTGTTTTTAGTTTGATATATACTTCTAGACTTTCTCTTTTTTTTGAGAGTTTTTTTGCTATAGAGCGTGTGTGCACTTTGCAGAAAGACAGAGACAAAGAGACAGAAAGTGAAAAATCACCCTCCCCCCAGGGTGGCTGGCAGTCCCTTCTCCTCCATTCTCCTCTCAGGATCTAGGGCACGCACACACACGTGCCTGGCATGAGTTTAAGCCACCGGGTCTGGGACTGAACCCATGGTAGAAACATGGGAGTCCACCGACATAGCCATTATGCCAAATGCTTGTCCTTGGACTTTCTTTTTCATACTTGAATATGTAAATATATTCATTGAGAGACACACATTCAGCAAAGGGATATTATACATGCCTTGTTCTCTCTCTTGTCACCTAAAAATTTATATGCCAATCATATAGATCATTTATGTTTGTTTTTATGTTTAGAGGGTTTTGCCTCAGGTCATGTGTACTCACTGGGGTGAGAGACAGAGACAGTGAGAAGAAAAGTGAGAAATCATCCCCCAGGGGGGACGTCCATGTCACAGTCCCTTCTCCATTCTCCCCCTGGGATCTTGGGCACGCATGCACATGTGCCCGGTATGATCTTCAAGCCACCAGATCTGGGACTTGAACCATGGTTAGCCATGTGAAAGTCCAGTGATGTAAATGCTATGCCATCTGCTGGCTCCCCAGTTATTCTAGTTTTAATAGTTGTATTCTATTCCGCAAAGCCTGGTGCTTTTTGTGTTTTTTTCTTTATCTTTTTAAAATATTAGTTAATTGATTTTTATAAATCTTTGTGTAGAGAGCTAACTTTCAGTAGATTACAGTGAAAGAGCTGCTTTGCTGTGTGTGAAACCCAAATCAAAAGCAGGTCATCTATGAATGGTTTAGTACTAGGGTCCTCAACAGACATGTGTTATGTGACAGGGAGAGGGCCATTCGCTTTTCTGACCATTCCTTGTTCCTCAGGATGAGAGTCTGATCACACCAGTCCTGGGCAGGCACAGCAAGGAACCGGCTATCCCAGAGCAACTGAAGCCCCATGGAGCTGCCATATCCATCTGCCTGGGCGAGATTCTGACTTAGAGGCATAGGATCAGAATCCCTCAGATGGTAGCTGTGCCCCACTGGCTCCCCAGCCAAGCACATTTTCCTTTTTCTTTTATCCTCATACCCCATGTTCATGCCCCTCCCACCATAGGCAGCTCTTCCAGTATCTTTCTATTTCTATGTATTTTTGCAAAATTACTGTCGTCAGTTTTGCATTTATGTGTGTTTAAATATGTACATGTTGGGTTATATCCCATTCTGTTTTATTTTTTTCCCTACCTATTATGTTTCTGATAATTTTTTTTTTTTGCTTTGTGTGCACCAGTTTATTCTAACTGCTACATGAGACTCCATGGTATTCATCCTGTTCTGTACTTGTTTTTACTGCATCATGCACACTTCCTAACAGACCCTGAATAATTTCACATTAGAATTCTTTAGGTTATAATTTGCTGTAATATAGAGATAATAGTTTTTATTTAACATCATTTCAGGGTACTTAGGAAAGTGTAGGTAGAGTAGGCCCAGAGTTGTTACAGTTTAGCAGCTGATTGGTAATACTAATTTGTAGTACTATGGAAAGGGAATTTTTAGATTTTTGACAGCAACTCAGAAGTATGATAAAGTGAGAACTTGTCTTATATGTTAATTAAAGCAGGGTCCCCAACTGGTGTATGAGCAAGCGAAGCTTCATCTGCATTACTGCCTGCAATCTCTGCCTCCTGTCAGATGTGAAGGCATTAGATTCTTACAGGAGCACAAACACTATTGCAAACTGTGTGCAAGAGGTCTGGGTTGCATGCTCTTTGTGAGTTTCTAATGCCCGATGATTTGAGGCGGCACTCTGAAATGGTGATGTAGTTCTGGGGTGTAGCTGCAAATATTAACATTAGCAGAAGTTTTGACTGTGCAAAGACCATGATAAGTCAGTTGCTTTGCAGATGCATATCAAAACCCTATCAGTGAGCAGCAGGTGACAGTTAAGCTGCATCTGGTGGCAGGCTTTATAGTGGCAAGTGAATTGATGTACTTCAGTTGTACAGCTGCATCTGGCGGAGGCTGTAAGTTAGAATCTGACACTTACTTTACTCTGCATGGCTCAGCCATTATTTTATTTACTGCTTCTGTCTGCAGCACTTTTCTGCACTGCACACTTGTCTCAGTCAGTTTTGGTAAGCTCACAAACCTTAGCCAAAATGAAAAAAAGACAAATGTCATTGTAGAGCTTCTTTGAAAAAGGGGAAAGACCCAGTGATGAGATGGAAGGAGACTAAGACTCCAGCAAAAAGAAAGCTGCACTAAAAAGAAAATACCAACAGTCCTCCTTAAATTACGGATGCATTTCAACAAACGATTCACATTCTGGAAGCTCACTTTGTATATTATGTGGTGACTGGCTACTCAGAGAAGCC